CTGTATGTGTGAACAGATACAATAAACGCAAATTTATGTCTAAACATTGACTTTGTTCCATTTGATCAAGCTCCATAAATGCTATATTCTACATTTTCCATAATGAAACTTGATAGTGTCTTCTCAATGTGCAAGATAGCAACAATTAATATGCAACATCCAGTTTGACTTTTAAAATAATGCTTGCTGAAAAACATTTCACATTGCCGCAATTTGGTTAGGTTTTGGTTAGGCACAAAAACTACTTGGTTAGGTTTAGGAAAAGATTGTGGTTTAAGTTAAGTACGTACATAAAATAAATCTAAAAAATCTAAAAGAAATGAATGTGGGTGAAAGTCTGGCGTTTGTTTGACCCAAATGAGCTTTTCTTATTCTTTATACTACGTCATCTGATTTCAATAGCACATCAAAACATTACGCCAGATACAGCACATACAGAAATGGTGCTAGAGGGGTATACGTACAGCACCCTACTTTGAAACTTAGGGCCACTGACCAAGCTGCTATACTTGACGACTTGGGAGAACGGGCTATTGTTTATTGAAACCTTTCTATCCAGTAAACATCTCCATATTTCAACCTCTGCATGCCCATTATATGACACAGGCTTTCTGTTAAAAATGTGTTGTCTCTGAGTTCAAGCCAGCATAACCCAATGACATCCCTAGGGTAATTTTCTCAGGCTTTACAAAACTCTTCCGCAGCCACAGAAGACATTATACGTTTCCACAGGTCGGATAGAACTAACCATGATGAGTAAACTGATGCAGATGTGTAAAACTGGTGGTGTGCCTCTTTACTTCCATAAATGCTTTCATAAATGCTACCTTAATGGACAATGGGCAATATTAGTATAGTTAGCTGAGATTACGTCTTGTAATGTGTAAAAGCTTCAGATGTGAAGACAACAATACAAATTATGTGACAGGAGAGTAAATCTGTTGTAATCTGACAGGGAATTGCCTGTAATCTGACAGGGAATTGCTAGATAAGATAATATGCATACAATTGTTCTGTGTCTTTGTGTCGGGCCATGAGGAGCCCAACCGTGAGCTCACAGTAGGACAACAGAGATACAACGACAGCCCTGGAGCTCGAACCACTACAAAAGATCAGGTCAAAATTGAAAATAACTGAGCAAGTACACAAGTATTTAGAGCTAAACAGAGCTAACTACAGCCATTGTGGTGATAATATAATTATTTCCAACATGTTGTAAAATGCTGCTACGTGATAGTCTCACATTTTTGGGAGATAATGAGTTCTGTTGTCCCTGCTGTTGTTCATTGCAGCAGCTGCTTTCACTGACTCCCAACACAAAGCCCAGAGATTTATTGGGCAAACAGTACATCACATCTGGGCCACACTATAATCTGCAGCAGAGTCTGCTGAAACAGATGAAAACTGAACAGCTGCACATCTTAACTGATGCGTGCAATGAGAAGCACACAGTGTTAAGTGAGAAAGAGCTGCTCTCCCCACTTCAGTGTGAAGATCGTTCTCTCCAAGTCAACTTGAGAGAGGTCATGAGTAACACTGTTGTTCTGATATTCAGCCAGTGTTTCTGCAGTGACATGTGACTGAACTGATGTAATTAGCACCAGACGCATCTTATCTTTTCTTCTGTAAACACTGGAATGGATCCGTGAGGATGGGATTAATCACAGTAATCTCTGTCATAACATGCCCTTAATGAATTAGAATTCCATGATAGCATTTGCCAAGGACAAGCAGCAGGTATAGCACTATGCAAGCAGGCTGTTTACAAACTACATTCCCATTGGTGTTACTGACACCATCCTTTTAACTACAGATATAGAGACTGTCCACATTGTACAGTGGTCTCCACAATACAAACAATACAATTTTACCTGTCCCTTAATAGTTGCCTTAATTGTTAGTCGATGTGAAGAGTCTTGGTCGATGCACTTTTCATTAGTTGGATAGTCACAGAAAAACAAAAATATGCTAATTTTAAGGTAACAAAAACATAACAATTCCTATATTCAGTCCTTTAAAAACATTTTATAAGTTTTCTTACCTGCATGTGTTAAAATAGGTCAACACCAACTTTTGGTTTCTTCCAAAGACAAACTTCTGTTTCTTGGGTGAAAGTCCTGTGTTTGTGTGACCTATCCGTCCATCCCAATCTGCTCCATACCCAGACTTTGTCACTCTTTGTCACCAAGTTAATAGGAAGAATTGGTATATTACCTGCACGCAAAATTGTGCCTTGTCTTGTCCTAGTTCGTCATTTTGAAAGTCCCCTTCAAGTTAGAATTCAATTATGCAACACACTGGTGTCTGTGGAAGAACACTATGGTCAATGAATAATTTAGGAAAAGCACCAAAGACAAAACTGCAACAATAAAACTATGAACAAAATTTGAATCATTCCGTAAGTGTGCATGGCAGACTCAGCACAAGTGTGGATGGTAAATACCAGAGTCTGGCAATAAATCAGATTTAAATAGCCATATGTTTTACAGATACAACAGTGTACTTTGATCATCTGATCAAAACTACCAATCCTTTGGGATAACAGGGTTTGGCAGAGTGAGAGAGCAAACAATGGAAAGCATTACATCTCGAAAAAGTCCTGGTGCTGAGGCGGAAATCAAAGCCAACAAGAAAATCTCATCAGAATGCACAGTCACAAATGAAGCTATTTATTCATTTAAGAGAACTATGTGCTCAGTAGGTGTCTGTATGGGAAGTTATTCCTTCTTTTGCATGACATGTGTTTCTTATAAGGCCCCCATCATTCTGCAGTCCACAATGGGAGCGATTTGCTCTTCTGAGACACATGTGCAACAAAGTACTTGCCACTGTAATCAGTTAATTACAGACCATCATAACTAGCATCAATTTTGGGGCGAGGTGTTGGCTTATGGCTGCTGAAACAACATTGTGAAAAAAAAAACAGCTGGTGAGAATCTGGTCCGGACAAAATCTGGTTGATCAAAGTCAATCAGAAACAATGCTGTCCCCAACTGCCCCAAGCAAGACAACTTTCCACCCACTATTTTAAACCCCAGACATTTCTCCCATGAGAACAACAAATTCAGTCTTAAACCGCATCAGTAATCTACAACCTTACGAGGAATTTGGACTCGCAAGATCACGAAATTACGCAAAAATCCATTTAGCCAGGTTTTAATCTAAGCATTTGTGGCCCATCTATAGTGGCACCGGACCAATCAGCATCCTGTGAGAAAGTACTTGCAGCTACAGTACTGGGGTGGGCAGCTATATCAGAACTGGATAGTATTTCTTCATTGAAAGAAGAGCAAAGAATGGCACTTTTTTCTTGATTTAAACTTGCTCTTCTCCTTACTGGCATTGGTACATGTTGGACTACATTATAAGGTTTAATCATCCGAATGGTTAAAGTTTGCTCGTGATAGACGTGATCGTCAGATGGTTCATCCATTCACCTTTCCAAATAGTTTCCAATGACAGTTTCCCAGATAGTTTTCACAAAAGCATAATTACTTAACCTATAAAGTTCAATATGATAAATATTTATTTAATGGATGCTAAGACTGCCCCCACAAGGAAAAAACAAGCATTTGTCATTTCATGCCTGAAATCACCTACTAGTACATTTGTACCTGACCTCTAGTGGTCTATCTATCAGAAGCAACGCTGTAGGTGCCTACCATTTTCTACCAGCAGTCAACATTGGTTTCTTTTGACCATAGTTTTCCCTTACATTGAAGTTTTTCTTTGTGCTTAAAACTAGACCAGAATTTATTTATTTTTATTTCTCATTCTTTTTTTTTAACGACCATGTCTACTGACAAACAATGTCATTTTGCCAAAAGTAGCATCTGATCAGAACACAATCATACAGTATGTGTCATTTTGCACAGCAATGGGATATTGCATATAATCAGCTTTGGTTCAGACGTTTTCAACGTCAGGAAATTGGAACATTGGGAAGCTTAACACTGGTCCTTAATGGAAAGGAGATGCTTCAATCGCCTACCAAAAAGTGCATGAAATTACAATGTTTGTCCTGGTTTTGCCTGATTAATGTATCTGAATGTATTGTTACTTATTTAACATTAGAGACACAAGGCAGAATCACTTAAGCCTTACAGGTATTCAGATTATGAGAAGCTCCAAGTGACAGGTAGTGAAGTTTCTGTTGTGGAGAAATATGTTGTGTTCTAGTAACCTACTATAAACAGACACTGCGGCTTGCCTTCCATGGAGTCCGCCGTGTTTCTACTGCAGCCCAGAAGGGACAAATCACACTGGCTCTAGATAGGGGCATGCACAGCCATTGCAGTTTCTCCATCATGCTTGAAAGGGGAGATATTGTAGAGAGAAATAAGTCATAATCTGGGCTTTTGCAGATCCATCCGATATCAACTTTCTGTAACCACCTTAACATGTCAGCACCAAAACAGAAGATGGAAACAACTGTTCCTTTGGTTTTACAGAACCGCATTGACCACTTAACTATTTCAAGACTTAAGGACATCATGAATGTTTTTAACCAGTATTCTTGTCAGAATGAAGGCTGTTGGAAGCCAAAAACAATAAAAGAAATAGTTATATTTCATTGGTAGCAGACAGTTCAGCTCTGATGTATGGACAAGTTGTGAACACAGTGTATACAATTATGTCAACTGGTCTGTCTCCAAGTATATGAGATAAACATTAGAACAGGCCTTGAAAATAAACCGTTTAACCATCATCTTGAAGAAATAAAGGTAGCATAAGGCTACAAATCATCACTGCCACTGAAGGATATCAGTTCCACTATACTTGTGAACTTTTGAATTTTAGGTGAAGACATTGGCATATGTTGCACAAACCCTCTTAGATTGGTAAATTTGTAACACATTCAGTATGTGGGTGTACTTGGGGACAACGCACATATTTTCTGTAAGCTCTCAAAACATTATGGCAACATGTGCAGCCGAGTTACACGTGTTTAACACATGTTGCATAGACAAGTAATACAACATGTGCATTGTTCTTCAAGTATGGATATGGTGAAGAAGAGTGTGAGTGTTTGATCAGTCACAGAACAGGACACATCATCGCTTTAAATGACAGCCTCCCAACCTTTATTCCTGTGACCTCAAACTGAGGCCAGAACATTTCCCTAACCACCAAAATTCAAAACACATAAAGGCCATTTTCACGTTGTTCCAGTGTTTACCACAAAGAAAGAGGAAAAATAACTTTGGATTTATCAGGGACAGAAAGCAGGCTACTGGACGTTGAGTGAAGAAACAATGGATCAGGGGCTGAGGGTGTCCATTAATTCCTAATACTGGATGCCTACCAAGAAGTTCCAGTGAAACAATCGGTTCACTGCTCTAAATTAATGAGCTCAAATAAAATAAAAAAATATCAGAATATCTTATTGACACTGAGTTAGTCCTTTATTACCTTATTCTCAGAGCCCCACAGGATGGCGGCTGTAACACACAAGTCCCTCACCTGCCCCTTCACATTACTGATTATATAATAATTATTTAAGGCATAAGTGATTCTACCACATCCCATCTGCTATTCAACTTCAGGATGTGGCTGACAGTTACACATGGACTATCATTTGTTCAGGAAAATCTTGTCTCGTTGCACTGTCAAATTATATTTACCGTTTGTAAACCACATGCAGTGTTATTGACTTTGAATCTTGCTAGCATCACATTGGCTTTCTGGCTCGTAGCCAAGTGTCAACCTATTGTCACCCATTGGTTTGTGGAGTATGATCTTGAAGCCTACGAAGTTCTTAAGATGACATATGACACAAGCAATCATCAAGGAGCCGCACGCCCTAAAGCATACCCTGCTGCTTGTATCATCACGTATTTTACTCTAAAATGGGACCATAATGATCACAAACATGAACCATCATGCTTTATAAAATAAGACTTGAAACTCGAGATTGAGACCATTAACTCATCAGGAAACTGTTTACTGAGCTAATGACACTAAATTCATGGCCTTTTACATTTTCAGTATATTAAAAATCAGCTATCCTTTTTTCCTCTAACAGTAGCTTCAAGGTTGTTAAAATCTTATTCCATATTGTCTGACCATGTTAAATATATTTTGTATCAGCTTGTTTTACTTTTTCATTCAAGCTATATGTGTGTGAAATATTCAAACCCAAGACTCTATATGCATCTATATGCAAATATTAATCGGGTGGCAAGAGGGTGTCATGGAGATTTAAAGGGGTGGCAGAAATATATGTTGATTTATCGCAAACAGTCACATATATCAATATTTGCTTAGAAGACCCTCCAAATAAAGATATTATATTTTATTACATCATTGTGGCACATTAGTAAAGCATTGAATAGTAATATCTTAAGGTGGCATTGAGACATTTTTTTCATTTAACTTAAGCCTTTCACCTAGTCTCAAATGTGGCCATAACAGCTCATTAAACTAATTTCTTTTTTTTAATAAATGTTTAACAAGGTGTTCAATTTGACAGCATTTGACACCACACGGGTGGCAGCTTCGTTGGCCAGGCATTTTGTAGGGGTTGCCACCTTATGCCAACCCACTAGATCTGTCCTTGTCTTAAGGCTTCATGGCTGCAGCCTTCTACCAATTGCAAATATTCTAGATGTACTGCCATCATTTCATACACGTAGCCTATCCTCAAAATTCAGCCTGACATATTTGGCATTTTTCCAAGCTTAGGGCCCTCTACTGGAATTTAAAATCCTCCTCCACAGCATGGGTTTGTCCTGACTGATCCACTTGGAGAACAGTGGGGTTTGAAGAGGTTTAACAAAGAATGAGACTGTCCTCCCAAGAAAAATGACAGCATCAGTAGCAAAAACAAAATGATCAAGTGACAAAGATCTTCAACAGCCAAATTCATTTTGACTCTCGTCTGTCTGGAGCAAAAGAGGAAGTAGCGTTGATGGGTGACTGCTGTTCATCTCCTGTTTCCTACCGACTCTCAATGTTTGTTTCCTTTAACCATGACAACGTTCAGTACTTGTTTTTTATTGTAACCATGACGACGAAGGTCCCCTAATCTTAACCAAGTAACAAACAAGATCACTCTGCTGTTACCATAGTGTATTATTTGTTTCATAAATATAGGATACATTTCGGTGAAGTTAGCCAACCTGACCACACAAATTCCTCTCTTATATTTACTAAAATAAAAACTTGGCACAATACTAGTTTAAACAGCTTGCTAACATTTATATTTAGTTTTTTTTATATTTGAGACAATAATATTACAGCGACGCTCCATTGGTTTTGCAAATGAAGATCAGTTTACTTACTTGGGTTTAGGGACTTTAAATTCATAACAAAAAGTGCAGATGCATTGGGGGCATTTGGAGAATGTGGAAAAGAGAACAAGGCAACAAAATAGCTTGAAAATGACATCTGTCTATCGACAATGTACAAAACTGAAATAATTAATCAAAGTAAATACTGGGACATTCTACTTAAAGATGCATTCTGCCATCACCAGATATAAACTATCCTTGAACAGTGGACTAAAAGCTCCAACATCCAATGCATCCAGAATCACTTCTGCACATAGCAGTACTAAAAGTCTGAATATCTGAGCATCTGCATCATCATGTTCTCTAGTGTTGGCAGTGTTGGTCTGTTGGTCGTTCTGTCCATCACTTGGATTCAGACTGAAATATGTCCACAACTATTTCATGGATTGCTTTGTAAAGACTGTCAAGGTCCCAAAGGATGAAGTTTGATTACTATGATCTCCTGAATTTTCATCTAGCGCCATCATCCATTGAAAATTTTAATTTCCTTAGTACTTTGGTTTATGTGGTTTACACTCAGCTGTATTTAGAGCTAATTAGCAAATGTTAGCATGGTTGGGAGGCTGTCATCTAATGGTGAACATGTGTTACATGTTAAACATCAACACACTAACATTAGCCTATAACTGTAAGCATGTTAGCATGCGGATGTGAGCACAAGTAGCTTACAGGCCCAGAGCACTAGTGTGGCTGTAGACTCTTGGTCTTGTTAATCTGTCTCTTGTTATTCCTCCAACTTTATGGAAGTGCAGAAAGAACTGGACTTTATTTTGTTTGTGAGCTCCTAACCTCAAACAAATTTCTATCATATGATACACGGTGTTGTTATTTATTGTTTATTGTTGTGAATTATCAGCAGAACGGGCGGCTAGTAAAAAATCAAATGTGCCTTTTCATGCACATTGAATATTTGAAGTTAGGGTCACAGATGGAGATCCTGAACATTACTTTTTTAAGTAACAGTGTATAACATTGAGGAGGATCTGTTGGCAGAAATGGAATATAATATTCATAGGTATGTTTTTATTAGTGTTTAATCAGCTGAATATAAAAATTGTTGTC